TTGGGATGACTGTGGGTTACAGCCCGAAGGAGTTCAAGAAGGTGTAGTGTTGGGCTCTAGGGCTTACGTGGGCTCCAGCATTGAAGCGGAATCTACTGCCCCCCTAAACCCTAAACCCCAAACCCTGTCTGGAGAAGAAGATGGAGCGTTGACACTGACGCTGCAGTAGAGCCTTAGCGTCAGTCAGGCACGAGGCCGCCGATCTTCGAGCTCAGAGCACACTGCAAAGAACTTATAATATGTATGGTATGTATATATATATATATGGTATATATATATATACACACTATATCTAGTATCTATATGTATATATATATATATATGAGTGTTTCGGGCTGGCATGGTTAGACATTCAGGGACTGGATTTGGGTTGTCTCCAGGCTTTGATTTGAGGATTCCATGCGCCACAGGTGGTGCAAGAAACTCTCATGACATCATAGCATGAGCCGATCAGAAAACGGGGCTCGAAATATCTCTGGCCCCGGCTGGCCAATGTCTCACCGCCGGTGCTTGATGGCTTGTGAGATGCGACCTCGTTTCGGGCCTACGATGCCATACCGGCTGCAGCAACCCATGCCCTCTTGAACCATTTAAGGCGTAATGTCTAAGGTTTCTTGGTTCAGCTTGATGTCGTTATGATTGGGGTTTTGGTTGCGGTGGTTGCTGCTACTGCGCAGTGCCTTCTGACAAGGTACGGCAACCCTCCCAATTCCGTTGCCACTAGTTACGTTGGCTCTCTTAGCCTCGTCTACAAATGTTTGGTTCTTGGGCTTGCAAAAGGTCTCGAACCTCCTGGAAACCCGAACTTGAGATGTTCTCCCTTATGCTAGCCCCCCATTATGATCCCTATTCTGGACTGTTACTAGTAGTATAAGGGGCAACATCCCAACCCTGAAGCCTCAACCCGACATGTGATAGAGACGCCGCAGAACTCGTTGCGTGGCTGGCGATGGCGTGGCCTGCGCCGAGGTTTTTCATGTCCTTGGCTACAAGTAGGCTCTCACCCTGTTTTCTTGCAAATCTCGGCCCGCTTGCTCTTCATGTCGGAAAAGTCTCATTTTCCTTTCAAGCGAATAGCTGCCTCCTCCCCTGAGCTAAACACGAAGCCCCTAAATCCTGATGAGGGTTTAGGGTTAAGGGTGTAGGGTTTAGGACTTAGGGTTGAGGATCCCTGCCTGCCTCTTACCCTATAGAGCCCCAAAGCGCCTGCATGTCTTTATGTGCCGAAAACGAAGAGCAAGGCTTGTACTCACCGTGTCACCTGCTTGCTGCTGGGCATGTTCGTGGTCCTGTCCGGTTGTTGCGGTTAAGGGTTTGGGGTCTAGAGTTTGGGGTTTGGGGTTTAGGCTTCAGCGGATGGGAATCCGATTTAAGTTGTGGGCTGGAGCTTTGGCAGGACCTACTGAATGTGGAAAAAATCCAACAGGGCCCCACACAATGTTCCTTTCTGTACGGAAACGGATTTAGGACTTGGGGCTTAGCATTTAATTTAGGTTGTAGCAGGTCGATGGCAAGCCGAACTGTTGCAAGTCGGTGCAACCCTGAACAGACTCACCACTTCAAGGGCATTTCTAGCTTAAGCGTCGGAACACGTGACTGGCACATCGTTCCTGCGATGCACCAACGCAAGAAAGAACTGTCACGAAGTGTGTCTGGTTGCTTCTTCCTACGTTCCTTCCCGGTTCCCCCCCTTAAGCATTGCACAGTTGGACAACCTCATTCCAACCCTGACACGAGTTGCCAACAAAAGCGCAGTTGTTGTCAAATGTCTTGAGGTTCTTGAGCATGTATCTCTACAGACGGGCCTGCAAGGTGCAGACGGGGGTTTAGGGTTTAGGGTTTAGGGTTTATGTGTTGAAGCCAGGTGGAGAGGTTTGCAATGTCCGTTGTGTTTGCAATGCTGCCCTACGACACTGGTGTTGTGGGTGTTGTGGCTGCGGGGTTGAGAAGGAAGGACGGACCACCATGACCCACATGGGTCGTGTGCCCATCGCTCTGTTTGAGTTTTTCCTGCGGGAATGCACCAGCCTTTGCCCTACACCCTCAATTCATCTCAGGCCTGACAACTGCCCTAAACCCGAAGCGTTGGGACGAGGGTTGGTAGCTTACCGCTATAATTTTTGATTCTCCAGGAAGGTTCTCCCACTCCGCAGAATCCACGTGACCAGGAAGGATGCTGGTGATAAGAGGCTCTTTGTTAGTGCTGCTTGAGGAGGTTTAGAGGGTGTAGGGTTTAAGGTTTAGGGTTTAGGGTTTAGGGTTTGTGCTACTTGTCTGGATTTAGGATTTCGGGGTTACGGGGCGTTGGATTGCTGCGGAGCGCATTCGCTTGATCACGGCTGACATGCGACGCTGCGGTGACAGTGACTTGCGCAGCGTCCCCCTTCCGGCTGGCTTGTGAGGCATTTGGGGCAGGTAGGGCTTTGGGGTTTTGGGGGCCAGGGCTTAAAAGGGTTTGGGGTTTAGGGGTTTAGGGTTCGGGGCTTAGGGTTCATGGCGACCCTGTGAGGGCACGGCCCCGTGAGGGCACCTGAAGAGCAGCCGGGGGACGATTTTCATTTCACCCCTTGGTCTCACCCACGGCCATCCGACCCGTTTTTCTGTTTAGTAGGCCCGAACTAGGGCGTAGCTTAGGTTAACATGTTCCACAGAAAGCAGCCTGCTCAGGGAATTTGAGGCCCGAGGGTTGCTTATGCCGAAAAGTTTTGTCATTTGGATGACCACGTAGTATTCCGCTGGTAGTGGAGCGTTGGCTGCAGGCCATGGCCCTGTGGGTCAGCTAGCTGTAGGGCAGTCTGTGTGTTGGGACCCTTAGGGTTTAGGGTTTAGGGCCTCTTTTTGCCGGTCCTTGCGCTCCACTGCCGGCGGCGAGAAGAGAGAGAGAGTCTCTGTTACGCCACAGCAGCTACACGACCGAAGATGGATCTCGGAGCATTATGGTAGACCACGAAAGCGACCCTAAGCAGGAAGCGAGGACCTGCGGCATGAAGTAATCAATGAATAGCTGCATCATTCGTTTGCCCCCGACATGGCGAGCTCTTCTGCGCGCTTCGCGGCTTATCCGGACACCTGATTCCAATGCGCAAATATAGGCACCTTTCGGAAGGACTTCCCTTAGAAGAACCCCTCTTGCTTCTGTACTGAACCCTTCGATTCAAGGGCCAGTTTCTTCCTTTACATTCTTTTACATTAATGAACGCCTTGCTTTTTGAGATAGTAGCCTAGGGCCTAGATGCGTGTTGCTGCGGCATGTATCACTCTGGGCCGACTTTTGCAAACACTCCCCTTCACAAGCAGAAGGAGGTCGCAAGGAGGCACCCCATGTGACGGCCCCCGGCTCTCGAATGTAGCATATTATGAGACGGATGAGAATTTGGAGCAGCAGAGGCCCTTAAACCCGGAACCCTGAACCCTGAACCCTGAACCCTGAACCCTGAACCCTAAACCCTAAACCCTAAACCCTAAACCCTAACCCTAAACCCTAACCCATTCTTACAAAGAGGTTTGCCATTTTTTCACGCCACCAACTGCAGCGGCACTGGGCTTCACTATATACATGCCCAGGCACAGACAAGCGTGCATAGCAGCATAGAGTTGAATATAACATGGTACAATCAAAAACAAAAGAATACAATAGATAACACACATACATACATACATACATACATGCATACATACATACATATGCATGTAAGTATGTATGTATGTATGCATATACTGTAACATAAAAAGTTCAATACCAACAACAAGTTAATGCCATGGCATAGAAGCCATCGTAAGCAGCTCACTTTCTTGGCCTGGTGTCGATGGCGACGCCAAGTTGTGTGAAGCTGTTTGGTCCACCTACGAATTTCCGAACAACAGCTTTCCTAGGAGCCCTCAACCATAAACCCTAAACCCATGAACCTTGCCTGCCTCGGGCGAGAAAGTGCGTCGAAACCCTGAATTAAGGTTTAAATTAGGGGTTTGGGTTTGCTGAAGCCTCAACTTCCCAAGAAACAAAGACCCCAGAAGGACAATGACTGAGTGGATTTAGGGTCTAGGGTTTAGGGTTAGAAGGATAGTGATTGCAAGAGTGGATTTAGGGTCTAGGGGTTTTAGGGTTTCGGGGCCTGGAGATCTCAGAAACTTCCAGCTACATGTTATATGGGGGCTCACGATATGAGGGGTATCTTCTTGGGTCCTTATTGTAAGGGGATCCTACTATTTGGGGTCCATTTTAGGGGCATTTTCATAAAACCCCATATGACTTTCATATGTATGTGCACATGTGTATGTACTGGTTGGTTTGCTTAAGCTTCTATCTGACTAAAGTCTGCGTGCGCATTTCGCCTTTTTGGTCCTGGGCCACCATGGAAAACCCCCACCGCCCCCGCGGCCCAAGGAAGCGCTAAACAACAGATGTCTAGATGCAGAAGATGATGGTAGAAGTGTGTGTTTAGGGTTTAGAGTTTAGGGTTAGGGGTTAGGGTTTAGGAGTTTAGGGTTTCGGGTTTCGGGTTTAGGGTGTGATGTGACTTCTGAGAAGTTGCATGTTTGCCGGCAGCCTCCAAAGTCCGTTGCTCAACAGGGTGTAGGGTTTAGGGCTTCTTCAGAGGGCTTAGGGACCCCCAACCTGCGGGTGGGGGGCCAACTGCGACGCCTCCTTGCGCCTCCTATTTGGCAGCACCAGGCAGCACGAACTGCTCGAAGACAAATGCAACAGCGGATCAGAAAAAATACTGTTGGTTAGCAGGGTCTTTGGGGGGAATGAGGTACCCTATATCATCCCTTAAAGGGTATATATAGGGCCCTAATTCCCTTATTCTCTGCTAACCAAGAAGTTTGCCGCGTGGATACGGTCTTGGCTTGATGGAGCGAAGAGGAGGGGAGGGGGGGGTTTAGGGTTTAGGGTTTAGGGTTTAGGGTTTAGGGTTTAGGGTTTAGGGTTTAGGGTTTAGGGTTTAGGGTTTAGGGTTTAGGGTTTAGGGTTTAGGGGGGGGGGTTGATGTGCTTGCCAGGCTGCGTGACGATTCAACCATGAGTTTTTGGTGGAACGCCGAAACTAGAACAACTTGCTTAGCTGCGAGATGTCGCTGAATGTAGAAGTTTCACTCGATCCGAATATCATTCAGTTGCAGTTTCCTTGTCGACATCTTCGTTTCGAATCATTTCAAAGTGGCATGCCGCGTAAAGGCCCGAAGCTCTACGGGTGTAACGATGAGGATTGCAGCGCACGTAGTTCGAATTCGATGATTTTTTAGAGCACTGAAACCCAAGCGGGTGACTGAGCTGAAACACAGTGGAGCAGTCACCTCTCTTCATCATGGCCGGGCGTTCTACGGCTGACGGGCTCATAATGAGTTCTTTGTCGTGCTCGTTCGGCCCGTAGAACGTCAGACCTTCGTCAACGTTAGCTAGGAGTTGCTTCGTACATCCGGAACGAGAAACTGCTGCGTGTTTGTGCCATGGGCAGGTGAGATTCATGAGGGAATATCTATGGCATGTGGTTTTTGTTGGCCATGTGCAGCGCGAGCAGGGTCAGTTGCGGCTGCGCTCCAAAGTCGTTGCTTCGACTTCTTCCGAATTTTCAGAAGCTATACTGCCGCAACATTAATAATAAACTAGCAAGTGTCATCATAATAACGCCCAGAGCTGCGTCGTGTTGTTGGAGCGCAGTGTCACGTAGGCAAGAATTTGTTCCCTGCACGTGACAGAAAAGGCTCCCGGCTGCGCAGGTTGGAAAGCAAGGTGCAGGGCTGAAGATGAGGGATTGAGGGATCATGCAATCACCTTGGGCATGTGTTCTTTGCGCCAAGGACTGGATTGTTGTGAATCCAAGCTGATCAAGAGTGCAGAATCAGCAAACTTAGGGCCATTCCCTGTGATGTCCCCGGTGGGCAGGGTCGAAACACTGCTGAACTCAAGTCTGGACTTTACGATTCAAGCGTGCATGTTGGCAATGTCGTTTGTTTCCTGCGGCGCGATGACACGGTTGCAGCGGTGTCACCGGCATGCTGCGTAAGTACCACACATGAAAGAATGTTCCATGCAACTATGTCCCCCTTGGGAGTTTTTTTCTATTTTTGTTTATATGAAACCCAAGAGGATATTAGTTTTCTATTAAGGTTCTAAATTTAAAGGGAACAGTTTTTTGGCAATTGTTTGCGTGCTGATTGACTTCAATCCCTCCTGCATCCGAGGTTCTTAAAGTTTTCAACCGGCAGCATGTTGCAGAAGGCTGATGTTGTTGCATGCGTTGGTGCCTCAAATATTGAAACACCGCGTAAGCTACAAAGCGAGGCTGGCTGAGCGGGGGGGGGGGGCAGGGCGGGCCAAAAATGCTGCCCAGACTGATGCGGTTACGTCCAGTACCCACAGCAAGGCAACATTGATTCTGAAAAGTTGCCTGAAGTAGGTGCTGGAGTCAAGGTTGCAACAGACTGAAAACTGAGCAACCAACCTGGAAGCACATGTCAGGTTGATCCAGTATTCCATGAGATGTTTCCGCGACATGCGCAACGGTGCTGCAACGGGCTCAAAGCAGATATCAACAGTTTGGTGGCCCCTGCCTGGCTCATTGGCAGCCGCCGCCTCCTTGAAAATGTTAGAATCAGGTTCCAGGGCACCGACGGAAGCAAAGAGGGCAGTAGGGTTTTGGGTTTAGGGCCGTTTAGGGTTTAGGGTTTAAGGTTGCAAGTGTGCAGAGGTCTGTAAACTTTGATGACGGGCTCATGGGGGGCTGGATGGGGCCTGAGTCAGTTAGTGGTGGTGGAACATGCCTTTCTAAATCAATGTTGTTGCGGCCAAGACGTTGGGTTGTCGGTTTTCCTAAACCCTAAACCCTGAGAACTGCCTAAATCAGCTCCGTGGCCCAAAGCCCTTAAAACAGCATGCATGGGCCCAGGGGATGGCGGGCGACACCGTGTCGGCGCAGGCATGTCGGTCACGTCAACATGGGCGAAAACTCGACTGTTGAGGGTTTAGAGTCTAGGGTTTAGGGTTTAGGGTTTAGGCTTTGTAAAGCACAGACATGCTGTGGAGTTGCGAGGCCCCGAAGCCTTTAACACTCATGAAGGCACGAGGCAACTCAGGGCCGGCGTGGAAGAGGGGGTACAAGTTTCACGCCCATAAACCCTGAAGCCCGATCCTAAACCCTGTACCCCAAACCCTAAACCCTAAACCCTAAACCCTAAACCCTTCAGCACGCAAGGAGCCCAAGGAGAAGGCACCGGAGAAAGAACCCAAGGAGGAGAAGGAACCCAAAGAGAAGGAAACCAAGGAGAAGCAGCCTGAGGAGAAGGAGGCTGTGAAGAAAGCAGAGGCCAGACTAGGGTTTTGGCCTTCCTAAACCCCTAATCCTAAACCCCTAAACCCCTAAACCCCTAAACCCCTAAACCCCTAAACCCCTAAACCCTAAACCCTAAACCTTCATCCACAGACGGGATGAACCTCCCTCAACCCGAAAGCATGCGAGTCCAGGATATTCGTTTTTGAGATCTCTTTTCAGAGCGGGAGAGGAGAGTTGCAGCAGTGATTTAGGGGGTTGAAGCGTGACTTGAAGGCTTACTGGGCAGTCATGTTGGAAATTTTGTTTTTTCCTTATTCGGTTTTTGGGGGAAAATATTTAGGTATTTTTTGCAAGGGGTTTTAGGGTCCATCCTAGTTACCTAGTTTAGGTCTATAGGCCTAGTAAGAAAAGCTATGGGGTTTTCGCGGCCCCCAATCGTGAGTGTCAGCTAAATCCTAAACCTGAAACCCTAGACAGTGAACCCCCAAACCGCCTCCTTACACCCTAGACAGTAAACCCCAAACCGCCTCCTTACACCCTAAACAGTAAACCCCAAACCGCCTCCTTACACCCTAAACAGTAAACCCCAAACCGCCTCCTGAAACCCTAAACAGTAAACCCCAAACCGCCTCCTTTGGTGATATGGGCGCTTGGCATCGGCCTTCATGCCCGGGCTGCTGAAGCACCAAAATCCCCGTCAACATGCATGCGGCCTGTGTGGGCCTTCAATCCTCATTTACAGGAGCCGCATGGGAAACTATGATAACCCGGACCGAAGATAAACTTAGCCCTTGTTGTATTTGGTTCCCCTCATACTCAACAGAGGGATGGTCATTTGGGATGGTTGCAGAACTCGCCTCCACTCCGAAGCCGTAAAACGGGGTTTAGGGTTTAGCCTCCAGTCACCCCCTATCTTCACAAAGCCGGTAGCACATGCAAGATTTGGGGGTTTACGAAAATAAGGGACCCCCTAATGCAGACCCCAAATAGTAGGATCCCCTTATACTAAGGACCCCAATAAGGTACCCCTAGTATCGTAAACCCCCCATTTGGGTTTAGGGATGGTGTCCCGTGCGCAGGGCAAGAGCGCCGAAGGAGCTGAGGCACTGGTGGTGAGCACGGCTTGCGGGTTTTTGTTTCCACCACCTAAAACTAAACCCGAAACCCTAAGCCCTAAACTCTAAACCTTAAACCCTAAACCCTAAACTCTATTCCAGGTCAAAGCACCTTAATGATGTTATTTTGTTCCATGGTTTGGGTTCCTAGTTGACCATTAAGTTGCTTTGGTGTTCAAAATGGTCCCTGCTCAAAGCTAAGTCTCTTTGGGGGTCTCTTTGGGGTACCCTATGTATTGGGGACAGATTTTTATAGTAACCCCCAAAAGTGCCCATAATTTAGAGAAGTGATCAAACTTTGCGCATTGAGCTGCATCAGGGTTCAACGTGTGCCTTTGTGTGTGCGTGTGTACAATTTTCCGTTTCGAAAATTAGCACTCGCAAATCGTTTTTTTCAGGTTTAGAGTGCTGTGCTTTTTTTTACGATCAGCGTGAAATATCCTCCAGACACGGGTCAACCCAGGGCCGTTTGAAGTTTTGTTGTTTTAAACAACATGAGAGCCTTGTTTGTTCAACGCTAGTGTTGTTGTCTAAAAAAGTTTATGCATGACTAAACGTTCCCAATAACAGCTTAAAGGCCTGCTTACCCTTTAAACCCCTAAACCCTACGACCCTAGACCCTGAACCCCCACCGCCCGAAAAACTACAGCTTGAAGCCTCAGGGCCAGAACACCCCAAAACCCTGAAAGCTCCAAAGTACGCCAAAAAGTTTTCAACAAAAACGCCCTTAAGCCCCACAGCCCAAAGAAGCGTGTGAACGCCCAGAACCCTTGACCCTAAACCCTAAACCCGAAAGCCCGGACACCTCCGTGTCAAGGCCAAGCCAAAGCCCCAGGAAGCCTCGCCCGCCACGCTGCTGGCCATGGAGCTTCGGTGAAATTAGGGTTTAGGGTTTAGGGTTTAGGGTTTAGGGTTTAGGGTTTAGGGGTGACATGTTATGAAACTGTGGGGGCTTCCGAAATTAGGGGTACCTTCTTTGGGTGCTTATTATTCAAGGCATGCTACTATTTGGGATCTATGTTAGGGGTCCCTTATTTTCGCAAAACTCCAAGTGGGGGCTCCACCTCAAGGCTGATTAGGGTTCAGGGGTGAGGCGCTCGGATGTAGTGCCTTAGAGCTGATTTTCAGGGTTTAAGGTACGTAGGGTTTTGGGTTTAGGGTTTAGGGTTTAGGGTTTAGGGTTTGGGGTTTAGGGTTTAGGGTTTAGGGTTTAGGGTTTAGGCAGGGTAGATAGTGTATATAGGGCTGAGAAGGTTTACAAAGTTGATATGGGTGCGTATTGGGGTTGAGGTACACAGGGTAGATGGTGTATGTAGGGCTGAGAAGGTGTACAGGGTTCATAGGGGGTGCTAGGGGGCGCGTATTGGGTTGAAAGGGTTTGCGGGTTCTGGCAGGTTTACGGTACAGGCGATCGGTCTTTCAATGTGTTCAGCCCTAAACCCGAAACCCTAAACCCTAAACCAGGGTTTAGGTTTTGAGGCCTTAGGGTTCACAGTTTCGGCTTTGGAGGCCTTAGGGTGTAGAGTTTAAGATTTCATTTACCGGCCCCACCTTATGCAAACCCTGGAGGCCTACGCCCTAAAGGCCCAATTCCCTTAGAATAGGCCAAACACGCATAATGCTCTTTAAAAAAAATTCTTTAGTACTCATAGTATCAGAATGTGCAGAATCTTTCAGCACTAAGAGTTTCATAATCACCATCATACTCATCATATTTATCATATTCTTTATATCCAGAATATATTTCATAGTAATATTTCATAGTAATCACAACATTACATTCATATCGGAGTATCCAGCTCCTATAGCACGACCTTTAAACCTCCCTAGGTCGCGGGCGCCCTTGCGATCGCAACGGTGGCGTCTGTGGTGTCGCCTCTCAGCTGCAACGAAAGTTTCAGGGCTTAGGGTTTGCCTGGGATTCTATTTACCTACTTTGTAGTACTAACTACCCCTTAATGAGCAGGTAGAGCCCATAAAACTGTAGGTAATCAGGGTCCAAGTAGGGTTTCCCTCTGGTCCGGATAGGGCATCACAGCCCAACATGAGAGTCCTGATCTGCAAGCACCTCCAACAGCCTTGAAGACTAACTGCTGAAGCACCCCCAAAAGCAAAAAGATGTATAATCCCTATATGGCCCATATAAGGAGAATGTTTTGTCAGTTTTGGGGCGGTTCTTCAGCAAACAATAGGAGAGGACCTCCAGGTTGTAACCCAGAAACCTGAAACGGCCTGACGCTTTGGGGCTGTCGCACCCTGGAAGAAGAACCACTTCCTTGTTCAGCCTTCGCTTTCCATGCTTTAAGCTCGCCACACGAGGCCCGAAATCATGACGCAGACGTAGCAGCCTCTCAGTTGGTGATGTAGGGGTTAGCTTGCAGCCGCTTGCATACAGCCTTAGCCCTAAACGCCTCACCCACGCATGAGTTCTTCGTTGCTGTATGGTGTAAGGTGGAATGTTTAGGGGTGTTTGTCGCCCTAAACCAAATTAGGGGATCGGGGGCTCCCTTGCCCGAAGTCATCGACGCAGCAGCCACCCTAAAGCCTAAACCCTAAACCCTGAACCCTAAACCCAACAGGCAAAGCGACGTGATGAATGGAGGGAGCTTGCTGGGCTGGTACGTAAGGCACTCAGCATCGCCAGTGCGGGCTGTCCCGAGTCAAAAGTTTATGGCTGGCGGTTTAGGGTTATAAGGTTATAGGGTTTATGGTTTACGGTTTAGGGTGTAGGGTTTAGGGTTTAGGGTTTAGGGTTTAGGGTTTAGGGTTTAGGGTTTAGGGTTTAGGGTTTAGGGTTTAGGGTTTAGGGTTTTGTTGCTATTGTGGCTGTTTGCTCCCTTGTTGTTGATTCTGTTACGGCTAGTTAGTTTTTTTAGCCCGCACTGCTTGAAGCTTGGTTTCTTCAGAGCTTCAGACGTTGAGGTATGCTTTGAAGGAAATCAAGGTCACGTGGAACCGGCTCGACAAGTTTTGGGGCCATCCAACAAACCAACCAAGAACCCTTACTCTTACTCTTACTCTTACTCTTACTCTTACTCTTACTCTTACTCTTACTCTTACTCTTACTCTTACTCTTACTCTTACTCTTACTCTTACTCTTACTCTTACTCTTACTCTTACTCTTACTCTTACTCCTACTCCTACTCTTACTCTTACTCTTACTCTTACAATTTGATTACAAAAGAAGTCAGCAATAGTATCGTTTGTATTTGCATCATGAGCCCTAAAGCCCCAAAATGCCCGAGGATTCCCTTTGGGCCGAGCACATCGTCCCGGCGCCATCCGCCCCGAAGAGCGTCCCTGCCCTGGACATGGACCTGGAGAGCGCAGCAGAGGGTTCTAGGGTTTAGGGTTTAGGGTTTAGGGTTTAGGGCTTCGATTCAGGGGTTGGGCTTGCACGGCAGACGCAAGATCCTGAGCCCAAACCCCTTCAGAAACAAATTTGGGGTCTCAACTCTCACAGCTGGACACAGAAGAGCCCAGGAGCTACCTCAAATTGGGGCTGATCGGAAGTTCTGAGCCCCTTGTGGGCCTTCAATAGCCATCTCCAGACCTCCAGAAACACCAGCCATCACATCCTACACGACCTCCAGGCCCACAGCCGGAGAAGTCTCTTGAGAGGGCGTACACCGGAATGTTTTTGTTTTAAGGACCTAAAGCTGATCATAGGAACACCCCCCAAAGGGAATCTCGCATTTTGTGAGACCTCCTCTTTTTTTCGAAAAGGGGGATCTATCCCCAAACCCCAAAACCCTAAAGCTGAAGCACCGGTAGAAGGGACCTAAAGTTGAAGGATTTACTGGTCCTGGCGCCCCGAAGCCTTAAGCTCGGTGAGGTTTGCACCATCCAGTTTTGCCAGAGCTGAGGTGGGGGGTTTAGGGTTCTTCAGGGTTCAGGGTTCAGGGTTCAGGGTTTAGGGTTTAGGGTTTAGGGTTTTTGGAGGGATTTCCAGGGTTTTTGTTGTTTTTTGTTTGAATGGCGTTTGGAACAAAGTTCTTCGCAGCTTTGAGTTGAGGTGTTCCAGCAGGGTCTTGGGAGTTTGTGTCTCGACCCTCAACCCTCAACCCTCAACCCTAAACCCTAAACCCCAAACCCCAAACCCTAAACCCTAAACCCTAAACTCCACACCGCCAGCCAGACACTCCCCAATCCCTGAAACACCCCAGCTGCATACCGTTTACCGTCACGCGATTTCCAGCGGAAGATGCCCAAGGGCAAGGGTGTACCCTTCTGACGGGGTTCTAGACCAAAATACGGACGAGCACCCCTATTCTAGACCAATGCCCACTTCAATCCCGCGGAGCTCAGCCTGAACCTTGAACCCCCTTACTAAACTGCAGCCCGGAAAGAGCTCTCATCTCAAAAGCCCTATAGGCCCTTACCTATGTGTACATGTGTGTCTATCCATATGGCTAGTTCTGTGTGAATTACCGCGTGGTCTTTTTGTAGGGTGCCGAAGGGGCCATAGCTTCGAGAGCCAGCTATACAGATGGTGCAGAATCCTGCCCTTGGCAGGCACAAACGGGCTATTCAACCAGCAGCTTGCACTGATTTAGTGAACTTGCGGCTTAGGGTTTCACAGATGTACTACTAACGTTGGGAGAGTGGGCCCCTGAGCCTTACGAGCCCCAAAGCCTTCTGTGCCTTTTCTGTATTTTCAGGCCATAATCCCGAGGGGGTTTCTTATGCAAGTAACCTGGGAGCTAGTAGGGTCTTGAGCTCTTGAGGTAGATCTGAGACATGCCCAGGCCATTTCTGAGGGTTAATGTACGAGGTCTGCCAGAAAGTTACTTCAGATGTGCGCTGAACTCCAATTCCGAGCGCTTCAATAGCAACGAGAAGAGTGCGATCTTTGTTCCATTCTTTGTTCTTCCGCCCGGAGGTCCCACACCTGTTGTTCCAGCCTCATCCCACTAATTTGTCCACATCACACCTCGGACAGCTGCCGCATGATGCAACCACACTTGACACCTCGCCCCTAAACCCTAAACCCTAAACCCTAAACCCTAAACCCTACACCCTAGACCCTAGACCCTAGACCCTAGACCCTAGACCCTAAACCCTAAACCCTAAACCCTACAAGTCAAGGATAGCCCAGCTGATCCAAAGCCGCGCGTCGGTCCCGCTGAATGTGACTCCTGCTGGCTACCCCGCACCACCACTCTTCCAGTTCTACGCGAACATTGCACCTGGGCTGGATGTTACGGCCTAGGGCTGGTTTAGGGTTTAGGGTTTAGGGCTTAGGGCTTAGGGTTTGAAATTTTCGGAGCTTGCCGCACGATGTCACAGGTGGTCTTGGTGAGCAGGACACTTCTTTTCGTTTTTTGCCCAGAAATCCGTGTTTCTTGGCATGGTTCGGGGTGTACACACCGGGCAGAGGAGTTGCGTACTTAGCTCTTTTAAAAGGCAACTGCAACCTTTCAAGCTTTCCGCAAGCCTGAACATTGCGGATCTATAAGCCTGCCGTTTGCAAGGTTTGCATACTCTTGGGTTTCGAAGCCTGAACAGCATTGAACCTGTTTCGGCCGCATCCTTTCACCCCGACTCCTTTCATAGCGCAAGCTTTCCTTGGACACTCCCGAATTGTCCCTCAACCCTAACCCTGAACCCCAAACCCGAACCCCGGTACGGATTCTAAACCTGGAGTCCAAAAGTGCTTGAGTTTGAGGGATCCCTGCGAGCGCCCTGACCCGCCATTGAAGCCTAAGGTGCTAGGCCCTCTAGCACAGCTGCCAGCATGCTCATGTGTAGGGCACTCTGCGTAGGGAGTTCTGTCGCTGCCCTTCCTTGCACAAACGCTCACGCTTTTCAGGCATAGACATACAGGCGATTGATTTGATGCTTCGGTGCTAGGACCTGGCATACGGGCATATCATGTCACCAAACCCTGCAAAAGGTTTACGGGTACTTATAACCCCAACTTCAATGCTTCTTGCAACCTACTTAGGGGACTTAAGGGGGGCTTATAAGTGCAGTTAGAACTCGGGTGATAAGTGCCTATGAACTTCCAAGTGAGCACCTAGTTCCCGGCACCCCCATCAGCCAAGGTTAGCGTGATGCAGATTTTGCTCATAGGCGCGTGCCCCGCATTTGCCATGCACTTGCCTTTCGTCTGGGTTGACGTTGGAGTTGGCTTGACCCTCAGCTGCCGAAAATGCAGATGACTACTTACTGGGCGAGTCTACCCCACTGTTTGACGCCGGTCCTTGCCCTTGACCTCACTCTTCCTATGAAATAGAGAAATTGCGGCAATGTGTTTCCTTAAAGCCGGTTCTGAACCCTCAATCCAATCAAACATATTTCCTTCCTAACTGTGGCAATCCCTAGCCTGAGTTTTTTTCGGAGTTGGAAGGTCCAGCCGAACAACTATGCCAAAGGGAGCCTTTGTGTGGCTGTAGCGACGTAAGATCGTAAGACTTTTGCCTGAAGTGGCCTCGACCAACTGCCTTAAACTGTTGTTTCTAATTCCACCGGGCCCACCGGTTCCCGACTGGCCAAAAACAACCACCAATATTAGCCCTCCGTAAGCGCCATGCAATTTTCGACCAAGTCGAGTTGAAAAGGCCTTTTTCGTATGTTGTCACAAACTGCTCGAAAGCTACTTGGGGGTTTCCCAAGAATGGGGGCACCCCTGTGTACCCCCAAATATAGTAGAATCCCCTTGAAAACCGGACAACTAGGAGGGTACCCCTTTATTCAGACACCCCCCCACTTGTTGCGCAAGCCTGTCGAAGGCATGCTCATGCTTGTGGGCGACAGCTTACCCGAGCCAGCTCGGGGCCTTGATTTGGGGTTTACGAAACTAAGGGGGCCCCCTACATAACATAGACCCCCAAATGGCAATAAGGGACCCCTAATATACACCCCCAAATAGTGGGATTCCCTTAAAATCAGGAATTTCCAGAAGGTACCCCTAAAAATCGGAGAAGTAGGCTTAGCATTGTTGGCCTTGAAATCCGTTGAAAGCATGTATATATAGGATCCCTTACAAAACTAAGAAGGAAACTATAAACTATCTCGGAAGCCAACATAGTTCAGCGTGCAGGGTTTGGCGCAGGGACTGGGGCTTTAGGGTTCGGGGCCTAGTGCTAGGGGGTTCGGGATTCCACTTCTCCGGGTCAACGTTAACATCGCTGCATACCCGACAGCACTACGTGGTTGTTGACTCTAGATCCTCTGTTAGCTAAGCCTTTCACAAGCCCTTCGGAGACCTCTCAGCAGTCGAAGGTTGGAACCATGGGCCCTTCGTACGGTTACCCGTTTCTATAGGGATCCGAAGTATAGACCCTGATTCTGTGTAGTGTACATAGTGGGTATATATCAAGGGACCCAGCTTAAGGGCCCACACTTGGAACCCTTGATCAAACTCTTTAGAACTTTTTGGGTTCAGGGCTGAGAGTAGGCCCTCTAAGAATGTAACCCCTAAACAATGAAACCCTAAACCCTGAACCCTAAACCCGAAACCAAGATTCGCGACAACAAGATGTCATCCATCTTCGGCCTGTTCATGGTGTGCGGGGCCCAGGGCCACCCCATGCCCAATGACCCCCTAGCCGTGGGCAAGAGTCCGGGGATTCGTCTCTTCGCATCCTTTGCAGTCTGAGGATGTAAGAGGAAGTCTGAGGCTGCAGGCATCCCTAAACCCTAAACCCTAAACCCTAAACCCTAAACTTGGGGGGGCGTAGGGCTTGGGATGTAGACGGTTTAGGCCCCACGTCATGATGGTGAGGGCTCGGCCCTAAACCCCTGCCCCCAAACCTCAAAGCCTAGGATTCTCCCTGAAATCCTGTCGCTTGCGTTCTTGAAGGCCTCACCCGGGCATCCTAAGCCGCTTGAAGGGGGGGCGAGGGGGGGGGGGGGAATAAGGCTCAACAAGAAACCCTAAACCCTAATCCTGAAAACCCTAAAAGAAGCGGAGGTTTAGGGCAATCGGGCGGGGCTGTAGGGTTTAGGATTCGTGGCGGACCTGCAAACCGTGTCGGCTAGGCTGCATTCTTGTGGTAGCTTTTACCCTTTTGGGGGTTCAGGATTTCATTTTTCAGTAGCCCACCGGCAAAAGGGGGCACCCGTACTACATGTTATGGTTACAGGTAGTTAATGCCGTAGTTTTTATGTGAAGTTAGATTCTTTGCCCTTCTGGGGCCTACTGCACTTTAGCGAAGGAGACAATGGGGTTGTTCAGGGGCTTTTGGGCGAAGGTTTCCAAAGTATGCCGCCCGATGAACCCTACAAGGGGTTGGGGGGGGGGGGGGGGGGGTGGTTCTAAGTTAAGGCTGTTGTTACATGACCGCCCAAAACCTTAACCCCTCAGCCTTTAACAGCCCCTCCCCCCCCCCATCCCTGACATGATGAGCTGAGGACGAACATGGTGGCTGGTGCCCTCACCAAGACCAACGCGTCACGCTCTCAGGAGATAGGGAGTTGGGGATCCGAAGGTTGAGAGCTTTAGGGCCTCCTCTGGAGGGATCCGGGGTGAGGCTGAAGTACACCAGCTACTTAACTTTTTGTTGACAGCTGCAGCAGTGAAATTTGTGAATGGCCCAGCATCAGCAACCTACCCTCAAGCTCTTTCAATGGTTCTCAAACTTCCCAAGCCCAAAAACCCTGAAGCCCTAGACCCCCAACCATAAAGAAAGCACAAACCCTGAACTCTAAACCGGACGATCAAGCTCCTCAACTCAAGTGCCCGCGGTTCATGGGTAGTTTTAAGTTAGACCCTCAGTCAGGTTCCGCATAGGCTTTGTTATAGTTATTCTCCTACTTGTGACCACGTATGACTATCCATGAACCTCCAAGTATAAGAATATGAGGGGGTTTCCGAACTCGGGGTACCTAATTGGGGTCCTTACTACACGGGCGATCTTA